TGTACAGTTGATAATAAATTGTGTTTTTGTTACAGTGATAATAAAGTGTGTGTTTGTACAGTGATTATAAAGTTGTGTTTGGTACAGTGAATCATAAAGTTGTGTTTTGAACAGTGTTAATAACGTTTGTTTGTACGTGATAATAAAGTGTGTGTTGTACAGTAATTAATAAAGTTTCATGGCTGCCCACTGTAGTGGAAGTTTGACCGAATAAGAGGAAACCAAACAAGAGATAATCTTTGTCTTTGTGTATTTATGTCAAACTTCTGCGCAGAAGGGCATCAACACCTACAAGTGACGGTCAGCGTCAGGCGGAGCAGTCGATTGAACGAGCTGCCTTCATTACCAAGATTCTATATATTAGGGGAGGTATTCTTGAGTGAGAACATCTTCCCGTCCCAAATCAACTAAGGCCCACTCCTATCTTAGACGACCTTGGGCAAATGTTTTATGTTCCGGCCAAGTTGTAAATTTGTCTCACACTACATCGAAGTGGTTATTGTTTTTTTGTTAGTTCATGTACAGTTTATCAGACATGTGTAGGCTGAGCAATATTTCACCCCGTCATGTATCACATAAAGCATAAACAGTCATTGTAACAAAAACAGCAAGTTCATTTGCAGTGCAGCGGAAACGGCCTTCTACAGAGCAGTGTAATACAAAGAGACTTTATTAAATGATCATTTTTCCTCTACACTGCACTCCTATTGGCTAACAGGAGTAGCAGTTGGACCTTCTCAATCAGACTGTGGCCACCATTTTGGACTTCACTCTGAAGGACGTTGCTGACCTCAGGTGGAATCCATTCATGGTGAGTATTAATGTTTGTAGTAGTTTAGAACAGACCTACATGACAAATGAGGTGGAGCAGGGTGGATTTTATTTTGTTTTTAGTAAAGTCAGAGTTGGCGGGTTAGCTGGCTAACGAGCTAGCTGTGCTGGGGTCATCCCTATGTTCCCTGGGTCCTATGTTCTCCACTAAGGTTAAGGTTAAGGTTAGGGTTAGGGTTCCCGGTCCTACAAAGGACAGTAGACCCGGGGAACATAGGACCCGGGGAACATGTGTCTAGTTCCCACCAAAAAACCCGCTGGTGAGAGCAGGCGCCACAGGAGTGGGAGTTCAGTCGGGTTGGTAAAGATGTCGACCCGGTCTATAACCACAGTCTAAGCACACTGTTAATTTTCCCTATACATTTGGAGATTTCTCAGACCCTCTTTTTCATTTTATTTCTGTACAAAAGCAGCTTTTCTCGTGTGCAGCAGCATCAGACAGCGACCGCCGGTTAACACTATCTGTGGCCAATCAACCGATTATTAACTCCTCTGTGTGTGTGAGAGAGAATAAGGTGAGAATCTGCTTTTGTTTCTTCAGCTGTAAAACAAGTTTATTTTCTGTTAACAGACAAACGTTTGTGTGTTTGTTAAAATGATTGCTGCATCACACTAGCTTAATGCTAGAGCTAACATCAAGTGTAACCCCAGTGTGTGGAGAAGCTAAGAGGCGACTAACAACATGTCTGCCAACTTATTAAGAGCATCGGGGAGTAAAGTGAGAAACACACACGGACATATGATACCGTTAATGACCGTTAAAATGTTACCATGGTAACGGGACACTGATTGATCACTGATCGATATCAGCAGATTTTCGGCGCTCTGTGTAAAGACTGATCAGCTGGGGCATGTATTTTATTCCACAGTAAAGTTACTCAGTGTTTGACACACACAGATTCACTTTCATATTCACTCGTTCTGCAGAGGAAAGAGAGGAAAAAGCATTAAAACATCAAAATATAGTGGAAGATTAAGTAGAATTAAAATGGTGAAGTAATAATCATTAGCATTTATTCAGAGACTGGATTGTGACCCAAATGTGAGTCAAAGGAGATTTTATTTGGTTGAAATTTTGTTTTTTAAACAAACTTAAACACTAAGATGAAATAAGGATTATGTATTCTTATTAACCAAGATGATTATCTGACATTTATGATTTTATGATGTAGAGAGTAAAATGTTTTTGCCAGGCTTTCATGAATTGTCCTCCATTATGTGTAGCATCAGTGTTGCTGTAAAATGATTGTTTTCTAAATGTTACCGTCTCCTCTGTTTTCATTCACTAACGCCAACACCTAGAAACCAAGGAAGGCTGAAGTTAACTGCCCTGTTCCAGCAGAGTGGGGTAAGTAAGTAATGTGGTTGTGGTTGTTATTAGTGTCCATGATAATTAAAAGCTTTACAACTGCAATTTGAATTTGTCACCAATCCTGTATCTATATATGCTTAATATAATAAGTAAATATTTAATATTTTCCAGTTAAAGTCACT